CTGTGCCCAGGTGGACACACTGACCCAATGCCCAAGTGGACACACTGACCCTGTGCCCAGGTGGACACACTGACCTGTCTGTGCCCAGGTGGACACACTGACCTGTCTGTGACCAGGTGGACACACTGACCCCATGGCCAGGTGGACACATTGACCTGTCCATGCCCAGCTGGACACATTGACCCGTTGCCCAGCTGGACACACTGACCCCGTGCCCAGCTGGACACACTGACCCCGTGCCCAGCTGGACACACTGACCTGTCCGTGACCAGGGGTTTCATGGGCTGGGATGACGAAACGGACACCAGCTCTCCATCCTCGCCCCCTTCATCATCGCTGGAGTTCTGCAGCAGCTCCGACTCCTCATCGTCGCCGTCCCCTCCCTCCTTCTTCCTCCGCCGGGCGGGTTTGCTGGAGCCTTCCCCCTGGTTGCCGTAGTTACCTCAAGGTAAAATAAAAAAAATATTTAATTGATTCACGGGGTTGGAATTCCCTGGAATTCCCATCCCAATTCTGGGATGAATCCGGGCTGGGAGAAGTTTTCTCGGTGGGAATCACGGAGAATGTTGTGGTCCAGGAGCTGGGAATGCGGGTGGGGTGTCTGTGTCCCGCTCCTGTCCCCTCTCCATCCCCTGGGAATAAATTCCCTCCTGGAGGTGGCCAATCCCAGAGCTGGGATGGGAGACGGATCAGCTCCACTGGCCAGGACACAAAATTCAGGAATGGGGGGATCCTAAATCMCTTGTGCCCATGCAGGAGCCGTTCCCTGCTCCCCAAAGCTGCTGGGGCAGGGATTGGGAATTGAAAATCAGGAATAAACCCTGCCCGTGCTCTCCAAACCTACTCTGACTGAGATTGGAATGGAAATTCGGGAATAAACCCTGAATAATCCCTGTCCCTGCTCCCCAAACCTGCTGGGACAGAGGTTGGAATGGAAAATCAGGAATAAACCCTGTCCCTGCTGCCCAAACCTGCTCCAGCAGAGATTGGAATGGAAAACTGGGAATAAACTCTGCCCCTGCTGCCCAAACCCGCTCTGGCAGGGGCTGGGGATTTAAAATCAGGAATAAACCCTGCCCATGCTCCCCAAACCTGCTCTGACTGAGATTGGAATGGAAAATCAGGAATAAACCCTCAAACCCTGCCCCTGCTCCCCAAACTCGCTCTGGCAGGGATTGGAATGGAAAATTGGGAATAAACCCTCAATAAACCCTGCCCCTGCTCCCCAAACCCACTCTGCCAGGGGCTGGAATAGGAAATCAGGAATAAACCCTGAATAAACCCAGTCCCTGCTCCCCAAAACCCCTTCAGCAGGGGCTGGAATGGAAAATCAGGAATAAACCCTGTCCCTGCTCCCCAGACCTGCTGGGACAAGGGTTGGAATGGAAAATCAGGAATAAACCGTGTCCCTGCTGCCCAAACCTGCTCCAGCAGAGATTGGAATGGAAAACTGGGAATAAACTCTGCCCCTGCTGCCCAAACCCGCTCTGGCAGGGACTGGAATGGAGAATTTAGAATAAATCCTGAATAAACCCTGCCCTGCTCCCCAAATCTGCTGGGATAGGGATTGGAATGGAAAATTGGGAATAAACCCTGCCCCTGCTCCCCAAAGCTGCTGGGACAGGGGTTAGGAATTTAAAATAAGGAATAAACTCTGAATAAACCCAGTCCCTGCTCCCTAAAACCCCTTCAGACAGGATTGGAATGGAATATCGGGAATAAACCCTGAGTAAACCCTGTCCCTGCTCCCCAAACCCACTCCGGTTGGAACTGGAGTGGAAAATCAGGAATAAATCCCACTCGCAGCTTCAGAGCCTGATTTTCTCACCCACCACGCACCCCCCCCAAAAAAACCAACCAACCTATGGTGACCTCGAAGTGGATGGGTTTGTCCCCGATCTTCCTGTCGATCATGGTGGCCTCCAGGAAGGCTCCGAAAAGGAAAAATTCTTCCATCTTCCCGCTGCAGGTCTGCGGGAAAATGCGGGAACGTCACCTCCAAAGGGACCACGAGGGTTTTGTCTCCCATCTCCCCAGAGTGTTTAATTAAAAATTTAATTTTTTATTAAAAATTTAATTTTAATGTCTTTAATTAAAGATGTTTATTAATATGAATTAAAGATAATATATATTAATATTAGTGATATTTATTAATATTAATTAAAGCTAACATTCTAAATAGTAACAATATCTATAAATATTATTGTAATAATATTAATGGTTTTTATTAAGATTAATTAAAGCTAATATTTATTAATATTAATTATATATTAATATTTACTGTAATACTATTAATAATATTTATTAATATTATTTATAGTTAATATTTATTATCATGAATGCTATTTATTAATATTTATTAAAGATAATATAGATTAATATTAATAATATTTATGAATATTTATTGTAATAATATTAATGTTATTTATTGATATTAATTAAAGATAATATTCATTACCATTAGTGACATTTATTAATATTAATTAAATCTAATATTTCTTAATATTAATAATATTTATGAATATTTATTGTAATAATATTAATGTTATTTATTGATATTAATTAAAGATAATATTTATTAATTATTTAATAATATTTAAATTTATTTTAATATTTAATTT